CCCCGGGCGGTCACCATCTCCATGGCGGCCACCATCCCCGGGCGGCCACCATCCCCGGGCGGCCTCCATCCCCGGGCGGTCACCATCTCCACGGCGGCCACCAACCCCGGGCGGCCACCATCTCCACGACGGCCACCATCCTGGGCGGCCTCCATCTCCACATGCTCACCTTCCTCCGTGGATATCCAGGTCACCACATCCACGAGGGCTGCTGCTTCCTGGCAGTCGGCTGGGTGCTGTGACTCCACCCAGGTCCTGAGCTTCCGGGGCAGCGCCCCCAGGAACTGCTCCAGCACCAGCAGCTCCAGCATCTGCTCCTTGGAGCGGGTGTCCGGCCGCAGCCACTGGTGGCACAGCTGGCGCAGCCGGGCCAGGGCCTTCTGGGGACCCATGGGCACCTGGTAGCGGAACTGTCGGAAAGTTTGGCGCAAGGCCTCCGGATCCATCGCGTGATCCCCAGGGGGTGCTGCAGGCCCTGAGGGGGGCTCAGAGCTCTGGCCTCCAGAATAGAAAGATTGGATCTGGATGTCATCACGGGCTACCTTCTGGTTCAACGTGGGCACCTGGGGGTCCACCGTGTGCTCCTTTGGGTGTGCAGCGGGCCCTGAGGGGGGCTCAGAGCTCTTGCCTCCAGAATAGAAAGATTGGATCTGGATGTCATCACGGGCTACCTTCTGGTTCAGCGTGCGGACCTGGGGGTCCACCGTGTGCTCTTCTGGGGGTGCTGAGGGGGGCTCAGAGCTCTGGCCTCCAGAATAGAAGGCTTCTATCTGGATGTCATCACAGTCAACCTTCTGGTTCAGCGTGGGGACCTGGGGGTCCACTGTGTGCTCCTTTGGGGGTGCAGCGGGCCCTGAGGGGGGCTCAGATCTCACGACTTCAGAATAGAGGGCCTGGATCTGGACGCTGGAGGCACCGACCTCCTGGTTTAACGTGGGGACCTGGGAGTCCACTGTGTACTCAACCGGGGGTGCGGCAGGTCCAGAGGGGGTCTTGGAGGTCAGGCCTCCAGAATAGAAGGCTTGGATCTTGACACTTGGGCCAACAGCCACCTGCTGGTTCAGCATGGGGACCTGGGAGTCCTCTGTGTGCACATCAGGCCCTGATGGGGTCTTGGAGCTCAGGCCCCTGGAACAGAAGACCTGGATCTGGATGCCAGGGGCAACAGCCACCTCCTGGTTCAGCGTGGGGATCTGGGAGGTCTCTGCAAGCTCACCAGGCCCTGATACGGTCTTGGAGCTGAAGCCCCCAGAATAGAGGGTCTGAATCTGGACAGTGGGGCCAACAGTTAACTCCTGGGTCAGCATGGGGACCTGGGAGGTCTCTGCACGCTCACCTGACCCTGAGGTGGTCTCGGAGCTCAGGCCCCTGGAATAGAAGGCTTGGATCTGGATGCCAGGAGCAACAGGCAGCTCCTGGTTCAGCGTGGGCACCTGAGGGTCCACTGTGTGCTCCTCTGGGGGTGCAGCGGGCTCTGAGGGGGGCTCAGAATAGAAGGCTTGGATCTGGATGTCATCACAATCAACCTCCTGGTTCAGCGTGGGGACCTGGGGGTCCACTGTGTGCTCATCTGGGGGTGCATCAAGCTTCCGAGGGAGCTCAGAGCACGGGCCTTCATCCTCGGCATAGAGGGCCTGGATCTGCGCATTCCGGGAACGGGCCACCTCCTCATTCAGCGTAAGTACCTCTACCACTGTGATGTCCATGAGGGGGTTTGTGTTCCTCCTCCCAGCAGGAAGAGGGTCCTCTGGAAGATCCAACAGATCCCCAGGAAATTCTAAATCAAAAGCAGAACAAGACTGCCACTCAGCACAGATTAACAAACAAGGCGGGAACCCTTCACCACCTCTTTTTAGGGACTGAGTTGATTCTGGCTCTTAGCCATGCCTGTCACAAAACACAATCGACCCATCTGGTTTCCTAAACTGGCATTTTTACAGGCAGCAGCCCTGGTGGTGAAAACAGTTAATGCTCTACCAATAACGCAAAATGGATGGAAATGCAAACTTACCCAAACCACTCTATGAGGGAAAATAAAATTTGGTGATTTGGTCCCATAGACATTTAAACCTCAAGCCAAAAAACCTGTGCTGTGAGTTCAGACTCGTGTTATCCCTTCACCCTGTAGGATGTTCAAGGTCATAAATCTCAGTGGCAGCAGACTTTCTCGTCTTTCTTCTTTAGAGAAGCGGGGAGCGTTAAACTGCTGACCTGCTGGTTTACAAAGGTCCAGTCTACAGCTGAACAAGAGCACCTCCTCTATAAGGTGACCGACGAGGAAACCCCACCAGGCAGTCCCACTCTATCACAGCAGGGTAAGAGGAGTGGGCACTGGCCCTGCTGGAGCCTTAATGGAGCGGGTCACCATTAGGTCCTATCCTGAGGAACTGCTGGGTAGGCTCACCTAGCCGACGTCCAGGTTAAAGGCTCACATAACCGACTGACATCCAGGTTAACAGCTCACATAACCGACCTCCAGGTTAACAAGGTCACATACCGACCTCCAGGTTAACAGCTCACATAACCGACCTCTAGCTTAACAGGTCCCATAAACAACCTCCAGGTTAACAGCTCACCTAGCTGACCTCCAGATTAACAGCTCACCTAGCCGACCTCCAGGTCAGCAGCTAAGCACTTAACTATTTTGCCATCAGGGCTCTTTTCATACCCACTGCTCTTGTTAGGTGTCCTTGAGGAAACCCATGAACAATAGATCTGAACTCTGCCCTCCCTTGTGCCATACTCAAGATGGTCAATGACAAGGGTTGGCTTGATGGTTTGTGGACACTGGATGCCTCTTACACTGCCTGTGGAAATGAGAAATGGAGCAGCTCTGTGAAACAGCAGTGCAAGAGCTCAAAAAATTAAAGGCAGGGTTACCATGTTAATTTAGAAATCCCACTTCTAGATGTGTATTTGGAAGAAATGAGAAAGACACACACACACACACACACACACACACACAGTGTCACATGCAAATGTTTACAGTAACAAGAGAAAATGACCCATGCCCACTACCTTCAGGTGGGGTAAGCATATTGTGACACATGCCCATAACAAAGTATTCTTTTTTAAATTTTATTATTTGTGTATGTGTGTGTGTGTATAGTCAAATCAGATCTGACTGGTACAGGAGGAGACTGCCCCTCCTTCTCTAGCACAGCATCTGGTGGATTCAAGTAACAAAGTATTCTGAAGTCATAAAAATAACAAAGTTCAAATATATCCTACTACCTGGATGCACCTTTACAGCATTCTACTGAAAAGTCAGTTATAAAATAGCATGTGTTGCATAAAGAGATTTACACCAAATGTTCAGAACAGGCACATCTACGAAAATACAGAGATTTGTGGATGTCAGGAGATGAAGCACTGATAGGAATGAGGTGTGATGGCTAATGATCCCTCCATGGGGGATTAAAATGTTCTAGAATTACAGTTGTGATAGTTACAGAAACTTGATTATTAAAAATCACCACATTGTTGTTGTTACCTGCCGTTGTGACTCATAGCGACCCTATGTACAACAGCCCTAAACTCTTTCCTGTGCCAATCCCACTGTCTCTGATATTCCCATCCTTATTACCCCAGTCACTGAATCAATCCATCTCATAGAGGGCCTTCCTCTCCTGCGCTGTCCCTCCACTCTCCCAAGCATGATGTCCTTCTCCAAGGACCGGACTCTCCCTGCAACATGTCCAAGTATGTTAGACGAAGCCTCAGAATCCTTGCCTTCAAGGAGCAGCTCAGTTTACCCTTCTCCAGGATGAATCTGTTTGTTTTCTTGGCAGTCCATGGTACCCTCAATACTATTCTCCAGCACCACAGCTCAAAGGCATCAATTTTCCTTCTATCCTCCTTGGTCATTGTCCAACTCTCTGGACAGTATTACTTACATAGTGATTACATATATAATTACACAGTAAGTAATAAAGCATAAAGACACGAAAAAAGGACAAAAGGCGTTGCGATGAAACCAAAGACGTTGCACCTGGATGCCAGTGTTAAGATGCCAGTATCCGCAGCCTCCAAGAGTAAAGACGTTTGGGAAAGGCAGTCAGGACCCAGCACAGAACCTACATAGAGTCAGAGATACAAGGGAGGGAACAAAAACGCAATAAGAAACCAGAACTCCCTAAGCACTCAAGAGAAGGTAAGGTGAAACAGGAGATAAACGCAACAACCCTGGATTATCATGCGCTTCCTCTGGGGTTTGTGTCTGGAGAGTGTCGTTGACACCACGAGCAGCCTGCACTCATTAGATCCATCTCTCTGACAAGAGCAGAAACTCAAAATCATGAGCAGTGAAAGTCGTGCTGCTTTCAAAAGCTTAACCTACTACTGGTCACAGTGGTCCTCAGAGACGGAGATGCACACCGGGACGTGGACTCCTAGACAAGATGATGGCCCTGCCACACAGGACAGGCGCCCTGGGGTATGGTGCTAAGGAGCTGCGGGAGAGACGGACAGTCTTCTCCCACGTGGCCTACTCGTGCAAGGTCGATTCTGCTGGCGAGCTGGCGGCCGGCAGCCCAGAACCTCCGGACCTCCACCATCAGCACTGGCCCCTCACCGTCTTTACCCATTTGCTAGTGAGCATGTAACTCAGCCAACTAAGGGCAGTGCTCGGCCGACGTGGACCACGACCTGCTTCTCTACCGCCTCCAGAGGCCACCGGGCCCTGGGCCCTCCCCCTGTCTGCTCCCGAGGCCCTCCCGTTCGCTCTCCAAAGGCACCAGGCCCCTCCCCTTCGGCTCCCGGG